CGTCACTCATCCTGTGGGTGGACACACCGCCATAGTGACAGTATTGGGCAGCGTCACTCATCCTGTGAGTGGACACACCGCCATAGTGACAGTATTGGGCAGCGTCACTCATCCTGTGAGTGGACACACCGCCATAGTGACAGTATTGGGCAGCGCCACTCATCCTGTGAGTGGACACACCGCCATAGTGACAGTATTGGGCAACGCCACTCATCCTGTGAGTGGACACACCGCCATAGTGACAGTATTGGGCAGCGTCACTCATCCTGTGAGTGGACACACCGCCATAGTGACAGTATTGGGCAGCGCCACTCATCCTGTGAGTGGACACACCGCCATAGTGACAGTATTGGGCAGCGCCACTCATCCTGTGAGTGGACACACCGCCATAGTGACAGTATTGGGCAGCGCCACTCATCCTGTGAGTGGACACACCGCCATAGTGACAGTATTGGGCAGCGCCACTCATCCTGTGAGTGGACACACCGCCATAGCAGCATGTACAACACTCTCCAATAGGAAGTTCCACCTACCTAAACTAACTGATCTTAACCTAACCTAACCTAACCTAACATAACCTAACCTAACTGATCTTAACCTAACCTAACTGATCTTAACCTAACCTAACTGATCTTAACCTAACCTAACACAATTAAGTCAATAATTTATGTTCTTAATATAATATAATAATAATAACTCAAATAAACAAATTGGAAACAATTTATTGAAAGTAAGGAAAATCACTCGGCCTATTAGGCAAATCGGACCTTGCATAGGAGGCAGAGAAGTGCGTTCTGGCTACTAGGTACGAAATATATATATATATATATATATATATATATATATATATATATATATATATATATATATATATATATATATATATATATATATATATATATATATATATATATATATATATAACTAACGTGATGGTCAAGTGGATTAAGGCGTCTTGTACATACCAGTTGCGTTGCTTCTGGGAGTATGGGTTCGAGTCACTTCTGGGGTGTGAGTTTTCAGTTGCATATTGTCCTGGGGACCATTCAGGCTTGTTCGCATTTGTGTTCCTCACGTGTGCCCCAAAGAATGAGGTGATTTGGTAAAATGCTATGCCCAAGATAACTATCCGAGTGCCGGCGGTGGGGTGGTTCAAATAGCCTCGGCTATCACCTCATTATGTCCGGTCGTGATGGTCAAGTGGATTAAGGCGTCTTGTACATACCAGTTGCGTTGCTTCTGGGAGTATGGGTTCGAGTCACTTCTGGGGTGTGAGTTTTCAGTTGCATATTGTCCTGGGGACCATTCAGGCTTGTTCGCATTTGTGTTCCTCACGTGTGCCCCAAAGAATGAGGTGATTTGGTAAAATGCTATGCCCAAGATAACTATCCGAGTGCCGGCGGTGGGGTGGTTCAAATAGCCTCGGCTATCACCTCATTATGTCCGGTCGTGATGGTCAAGTGGATTAAGGCGTCTTGTACATACCAGTTGCGTTGCTTCTGGGAGTATGGGTTCGAGTCACTTCTGGGGTGTGAGTTTTCAGTTGCATATTGTCCTGGGGACCATTCAGGCTTGTTCGCATTTGTGTTCCTCACGTGTGCCCCAAAGAATGAGGTGATTTGGTAAAATGCTATGCCCAAGATAACTATCCGAGTGCCGGCGGTGGGGTGGTTCAAATAGCCTCGGCTATCACCTCATTATGTCCGGTCGTGATGGTCAAGTGGATTAAGGCGTCTTGTACATACCAGTTGCGTTGCTTCTGGGAGTATGGGTTCGAGTCACTTCTGGGGTGTGAGTTTTCAGTTGCATATTGTCCTGGGGACCATTCAGGCTTGTTCGCATTTGTGTTCCTCACGTGTGCCCCAAAGAATGAGGTGATTTGGTAAAATGCTATGCCCAAGATAACTATCCGAGTGCCGGCGGTGGGGTGGTTCAAATAGCCTCGGCTATCACCTCATTATGTCCGGTCGTGATGGTCAAGTGGATTAAGGCGTCTTGTACATACCAGTTGCGTTGCTTCTGGGAGTATGGGTTCGAGTCACTTCTGGGGTGTGAGTTTTCAGTTGCATATTGTCCTGGGGACCATTCAGGCTTGTTCGCATTTGTGTTCCTCACGTGTGCCCCAAAGAATGAGGTGATTTGGTAAAATGCTATGCCCAAGATAACTATCCGAGTGCCGGCGGTGGGGTGGTTCAAATAGCCTCGGCTATCACCTCATTATGTCCGGTCGTGATGGTCAAGTGGATTAAGGCGTCTTGTACATACCAGTTGCGTTGCTTCTGGGAGTATGGGTTCGAGTCACTTCTGGGGTGTGAGTTTTCAGTTGCATATTGTCCTGGGGACCATTCAGGCTTGTTCGCATATATATATATATATATATATATATATATATATATATATATATATATATATATATATATATATATATATACATATCAGTAATCTTTTTATATCACAAGTGATTCAACAAGAGACTCACAAGTCACTATACAAGGCACTTTACATCTATGGTGAGTGTCAAACACGGAGACATCACTACTAGATGTTTTAAGGAGTAACCCCAACTGTAAATATGGGTGTTGGACACAACAGCACCCTCCCCCCTTTTCTAATGGACAAAAAAATGCAAGCTGTGGTAAGACACAATATATTTGGCAGAATAAATATCCTGCGGTACCCGAAAGTTTTGTTCTTACACCAGTAATGTTCATTATACTGTATATATGTGTGTGTGCTTGGTGGGGTACCCGGGGCTGCTCTCTCTCTCTCTCTCTCTCTCTCTCTCTCTCTTTCTCTTTCTCTTGGTAGTCGCAATAAGATCTGACCCTTCTCAAAGGGGGGTGCGCAATGGGGCCAAACCACCTATGATAATCCCCCTAGCTTAATGTGTTATGAAATATCGAGTGAGGCTAGGCTCAAGCATCAAAACTGACACCATGGACATACAATCTATTTTATAAATATAAATGATCTATAAGAGGAATTGTTACATAAATATGATTACAAATGATAAATTCTAAGGGAGAATAAAGAACTTGGGTGACGGCTTCATCACCAAAAGGACATTGACAGAATAATTGAGCGGAGCAACACATGGCAGATGGAATTTAGCGTAAATAAATATCACATAATGGAATGTGGAATAAGGGAGAACAGGTTACACTGAACCTACACATGATATGAAAAGTTGCCAAGATCGTCTGACAATGACAGACGCAGGAGTGGGTCTGGAGAGTGAGCTGCCATCACAGCACCACATGAAGGTCACTGTGAGAGGAGTCTATGCTATGCTAGTAACATTTCAGAACCACTAATAAATATATGAATGGAGTATTATGAAAGCAACTGTTCACGTCATTCGTGAGACCAAAACTCGAATATGCAGAAATGGCGCGGTTGCCATATCTCAAGAAACGTAGCAATAAATTAGAAAAGGTGTCAAGGTGTATGTGGCTCTTGTATGGGTTCCGGAACAATACCGTGAGCTATGAGACGAGGCTGAAGACTCAACATGCCGAGGCTGCACGATGGGTGGAACAGAGACGATATAATCACTGTACAAAAGGTAACTGGAATCAGCAAAATAGACAAAAACGAATTTCTGATACTGTTCATTTATTTTGGTTAAGAAATTATGTAACTTGTTCATCAGTGCTGTAACTTGCTTACCTAAATGAACTTTAGGGGTAATTTGGGGGGTTCAGTCCCAGAGCCTATTATGTTTTTTCTTCCACAGACGTGGCCACACATTTACAATGCTAACCAGCATATATACATCTTCTTCTGTCCTCCGTGGACAGAGATTTATTAAACATATAGTTCAGGGGTTTATTGAACAATCAACAACAGAAGGTGAATGTAGTGCCTTTAAAATGCTAAGCTAACCTACATACGTAAATACATAGATACACAGCTTTACGTATGCCCTACATAAAGTGTTCGATGTGTCTTTTACATAGTGTCATTAATGTGCATTTACAAAGGTGAAATGTAATTCTGATCAGCTTCCACATATATTTTATACACATACATATACATACACACACACATACATACATATATGCACACACATACACGTACATTTGTCTCATTTGCTCTGACAGGGTGAGATAGTTGATCTCACCCTGTCTAGACTAGACTTCTCTAGTCACCCTGTAGTCTAGAGAACCTATTGTGCAATTAAGCACTTAACCACTGAAGGTGATTCAGATGCTTTTACAATCTTGTGTCTGTAACCTTTTCCACTACCGCCCACATGATGGGTATAGGGTGCATAATAATTAAACTAAACTAACTCTGATGCAGACGATGAGTCACAATACCGAGGTTGAGGATATGATGACCAATCCACACACCAGAAACAACGAAGTCGTTGTTTCATCAGCTTGTGATGTGTTTGGTCATCATATACCTATAATATACCTATAATATACCTACAATTTTCTCTCATCTTTTTTTTTCTTGCCTTGTAAATGGTATCATTTTTTATAAATTTTGCAAGTATTTACCTACTTAAAATTTTCTTAGATTAAGGACCTGCCCGAAACGCTGCTCGTACTAGTGGCTTTACAAGATTGTAATTACCATATTATGTATCCTCACAATCCCAATGTACATTCTTGTATATGCATAAATAAATAAATAAAATAAATAAATAAATCAACTAACTGTGATACCTGTGACACAAGTGACTTCTGCTGCTGCAACATTCACTCACGTGAGCTCACTTAAGACTCATACGTGAGTAATTAATGAAAATAAAGAGTGATTTTGACCAAACACATCCTTGTTTGAGGCAGACTAGTAGTGCACATCAGAGGAGTTTTTGACCACTGTGAGTGGTGTTGTGTACTCGTTGTCCAGACCCCCGTGTCAGGCTCGGGCTGGTTGTGTAGTTTATGTTTTCAGTGAAACAATTAACGAATTATTACCATTCGTAAATATGATTTTGTTCTACTAAAATCTGTATTTTGTTTTAACTTTTTTCTTTTGTCTTGCAGCAATATCAACAGATAGAGAAGATGAAGGCTGGAATAGAAGAGGAGGTACATTTCCACAAAGAACAAGTCCAAGCCCACAAAGATGCCATAAAAAGGCACCACCGAATACTGGATGAGCTGATGATGAGCATGAGGAACATTGTGGCCAGAGACAAGCTGTCTGGTAATGACTCTTAAGATCATTATGATGATGATGATGATGGCCACACCTCTTAAACCAAGCTCATCTATAGCCTAATTCTGAAGTTTGGTTAGCTGTGACGCTTTGCTGTGTGTGTGTGTGTGTGTGTGTGTGTGTGTGTGCGCGTGTGTGTGTGTGTGTGTGTGTGTGTGTACTCACCTATATGTACTCACCTATATGTGCTTGCAGGATCGAGCATTGACTCTTGGATCCCGCCTTTCTAGCTATCGGTTGTTTACAGCAATGACTCCTGTCCCATTTCCCTATCATACCTAGTTTTAAAAGTATGAATAGTATTTGCTTCCACAACCTGTTCCCCAAGTGCATTCCATTTTTCTACTACTCTCACGCTAAAAGAAAACTTCCTAACATCTCTGTGACTCATCTGAGTTTCCAGTTTCCACCCATGTCCCCTCGTTCTGTTATTATTACGTGTGAACATTTGATCTATTTCCACTTTGTCAATTCCCCTGAGTATTTTATATGTCCCTATCATATCTCCTCTCTCCCTTCTTTTCTGTAGTGTCGTAAGGTTCAGTTCCTTCAGCCGCTCTTCATATCCCATCCCTCGTAGCTCTGGGACAAGCCTCGTCGCAAACCTCTGAACCTTCTCCAGTTTCTTTATGTGTTTCTTCAGGTGGGGGCTCCATGATGGCGCGGCATACTCTAAGACGGGTCTCACGTAGGCAGTGTAAAGCGCCCTAAAAGCTTCCTCATTTAGGTTTCTGAATGAAGTTCTAATTTTCGCCAGTGTAGAGTACGCTGCTGTCGTTATCCTATTTATATGTGCCTCAGGAGTTAGATTGGGTGTCACATCCACTCCCAGGTCTCTTTCTCGAATCGTTACAGGTAGGCTGTTCCCCTTCATTGTGTACTGTCCCTTTGGTCTCCTGTCACCTGATCCCATTTCCATAACTTTACATTTACTGGTGTTAAACTCCAGTAGCCATTTCTCTGACCATCTCTGCAGCCTGTGTAAGTCCTCTTGGAGGATCCTACAATCCTCGTCTGTCACAACTCTTCTCATTAATTTTGCGTCATCTGCAAACATTGACATGTATGATTCCACTCCTGTAAACATATCATTTACGTAAATTAGAAAGAGGATTGGTCCCAGCACCGATCCTTGAGGTACTCCACTTGTTACTGTTCGCCAGTCCGACTTTTCGCCCCTTACCATTACCCTCTGGCTCCTTCCTGTTAGGTAGTTCTTCACCCATACTAGGGCCTTTCCGCTTACTCCTGCCTGCCTCTCAAGTTTGTATAGCAGTCTCATGTGCGGTACCGTATCAAAGGCCTTTTGGCAGTCAAGAAATATGCAGTCTGCCCAGCCTTCTCTGTCCTGCCTTATCCTTGTTACTTTATCATAGAATTCTAAAAGGTTTGTTAGGCATGATTTCCCTGTCCAGAACCCATGTTGGTGCTTGTTTACAAACCCAATGCTCTCCAGGTGCTCAACAAGTCTTAGCCTAATTATTCTTTCAAGTATTTTGCAGGGGATGCTTGTCAGTGATACGGGTCTGTAGTTAAGTGCCTCCTCCCTATCCCCCTTTTTGAAAATCGGTACGACATTTGCCTCCTTCCAGCAACTGGGCAATTCTCCCGACATAAGTGACTCATTGAAGATCATTGCCAGAGGCACGCTGAGAGCCTGCGCTGCCTCTTTAAGTATCCACGGTGATACTTTGTCTGGTCCAACAGCTTTATTTGCATCCAGTGTTGTCAACTGTTTCATTACATCCTCTGCTGTCACCTCTATATCTGATAGTCTTTCATCTTGGGTAATCTCTTCTAACAATGGGAGCTGCTCAGGCTCGGTAGTGAACACTCCATGGAATTTTGCATTCAGTACCTCGCAGATTTCCTTGTCGCTTTCTGTATATGCCCCTTCTGTTTTCCTCAGTCTTGTCACTTGGTCATTTACCGACATCTTCCTTCTTATATGGCTATGTAGTAATTTTGGTTGCTTTTTCGCTTTGACTGCAATATCGTTCTCATAATTTCTTTCCGACACTCGTCTTATGTTAATGTAATCATTCCTAGCTCTGTTACATCTAATCCTGTTGTCCTCTGTCCTTTGTCTTCTGTACTTCCTCCACTCCCTCCTGCTTCTCACCTTTGCTTCCTGACACTGTCTATTAAACCATGGGTTATTATATTCCCTCCTGCTTTTTTTCTTTATTGTTGGAATAAATCTATCTTCAGCCTCCTTGCATTTCAATATGACTTGGGTCATCATATTACCGACATCTGGTGTGTGTGTGTGTGTGTGTGTGTGTGTGTGTGTGCGTGTGTGTGTGTGTGTGTGTGCGTGTGTGTGTGTGTGTGTGTGTGTGTGCTGTCAGAGTTACTGTGGACGTCGGCTTGCTGCCTTCTCTTGATAATTACTTAATGTGGACGTTACATGACAGTTATGTGATATTACAGTTTGGTTGTGGTCATACAGGAATACAAGGCTTGGCCCCTTCCATTACCCAGCTTTTATGTTTTAGCTTCATAGATATTTGATCTTTGTGAGCAAGTGCTTTTGAACTTAATCTTGGAGTGCATCATCAATGTGTTTCTTTAAGGGTGACCACGAGACGGAAGTCACTTGGAGTGTGTCTGGTGGTGTGAAGGATCAAGAGTTTTCCATCCGACCCTCTCGCACATTTCTTGTTTGATGTACAAGACAGTATGGATCCTGTGGCACAGTAGTCTACAGCCACGATTCACAATTGAGGGTCCCCGCGTTTAATTCCCCCATGAAGGACAGTCAGTCCGACAGGTCTCCCTTAACCTGATACCACTGTTCACCTAGCAGTAAACAGGCACCTGGGGGTTAGGCAACTGCTGTGGGTTGGAGCCTGGGGAGCTACAGGCTCCCTGTCCCCAACAATGAGAATGAAATTGTATTGTTTAACTGAATGGCTCCCTTAAAGAAATACTTCACATGTCACTTTAGTACAGGTGTACATGTACTGCTGTACATGTACTGCTGTACATGTACTGCTGTACATGTACAGGTGTACATGTACTGCTGTACAGTACTTTACTTTATTGCTACATAGAATTATATTGAAATATTGCATCTGACATGCATTGCATAAATAAGACTACTGTATTACAAATATTTAGTAATATGCATTATTCATTTTTTTATCCTTATATTTTTCAACATTTGTCTGTAGAGTTATACATAAAACACGTGATAATACATATACATATACTTAGGCCCGGTGTGGTAGACCATATCTAGGGTATTTAATTATTTATTGTCAGCATCTATGCATGTATCACCAAGAGTTGCATGTATCACCAAGAGTTGCATGTATCACCAAGAGTTGCATGTATCCTACCTCGGCGGTGGCAAGATATATTATAGGGAGGGGATTGAGGGGGAGAAATGTACACAGGGAATTGTTGAGGAAAGGAAGATTGGTTGGGGTGGGGTTGCGGGAAAGGCGTGTGTGTGGGGGAAGGGGATGAGGGGGGTGTATACAGGTAGGGGTTGAGAGAGGTAAGGTTGTAGAGATGTCTAGGAAAAAGTGGTTTTCCACATTTCGAGAAGAATATGGGCAAGGCTGGGTTGTGGTTGGGGTGGGGAACGAGGGGAGGGGTTGGGTTGGGATTGGTTGGGTCTGGGGTGGGGAAAGGGGGACGGGTTGGGTGGGGATGCGTTAGTGTTGGGTGTAGGGAAAGGAGGGAGGAGTTTGGTGAGGATGGGTTGGGGCTGGGGTGGGTAGATGGGTAGGGATTGGGTGGGGGGATGGATTGTGTAGAATGTGAATCCATGAGAAATATACATTTTCACCAATTTCAATAATTTTGAGACCCATCGTTGGATCCAGGTGAAATTTAAACACGTCACTTCTCTATAAATGAGAATCACAATGATTCTCAGTGAATAACTTATATTTATATATATATATATATATATGTCGTACCTAGTAGCCAGAACGCACTTCTCAGCCTACTATGCAAGGCCCGATTTGCCTAATAAGCCAAAAAAGTTAGGTTAGGTAGGTTAGGTAGTCGAAAAACAATTAATTCATGAAAACTTGGCTTATTAGGCAAATTGGGCCATGCATAGTAGGCTGAGAAGTGCGTTCTGGCTACTAGGTACGACATTATATATATATATATATATATATATATATATATATATATATATATATATATATATATATATATATATATATATATATATATATATATATATATATATATATATATGTCGTACCTAGTCGCCAGAACTCACTTCTCAGCCTACTATTCAAGGCCCGATTTGCCTAATAAGCCAAGTTTTCCTGAATTAATATATTTACTATAATTTTTTTCTTATGAAATGATAAAGCTACCCTTTTCACAAACACAGTACAACCGTCTCTCACGACCTCTTTTGCTCAAGTAAGGTCAAGACGTCCCCGGCGAGCCTCACTTCTTGCGAGCAAAGTATTGACATCTTCTTCCGTGTCAATTATTTACTTGTTCACCCTCTGCTCATGCTTTTAAACTATTCACTGACATTAGTCATGTATATAGTATATATTCATATACTATATGAATATATATATATATTCATACTTCCTCTGGCCTCTCAATCAGGTCCAGTTTGCGGAATAATTCTCATAGGGGTAGACTCGTTCTTCAGGCTACCTGGAGTCATAACACTCCCCTTCCCTTATTTTTGAGTTATTCCAGTCGCTAGGCGCGGGATAATGCATCGTCCTTCACAATATGTCTTCCTCTTATATGCCTTATTACCAGGTCATATTCTTGGAGCAATAGAAACCACGTGGTTAGCCTCTGGTTTGCGTGTTTCATCTTGCTCAGGAACACTCGGGGATTTTGATCTGTATACACTGTAACTGGGTGTCCTCCCCACTTACGTATACCTCAAAATGCGTCAATGCCAGCACCAAAGCCAAAGTCTCTTTCTCTACCGTACTGTACTATCTCTAATGTTCAACAAACTTCTTCGAGAAGAAAGATATGGGGTGATAAATTTCATCCTTCTGCTGTGTTAATACAGCTCTAGTCCCAACATCACTGGAATCCACAAAAAACGCACATGGTGCTCCAAAATCCAGCGATACTAACACAGGCGCCTCAGTCAATAGTCTCTTGGTCTTCTCAAATGCCTCCTGTGCTATCCAGTTCCACTCCCACTTCTTGCTCTTCGATAACAAACTTGTCATGGGAGCGGATTCAGTTTAAAATTCTCACAGAACTTCCGGTAATATTCGATCATACCTAAGTATCTTAATAACTCCTTCTTTCCTCTGGGTACCAAGAAATTATCGATGGCTTCCACTTTCGTTCTTACTGGAGCAACCTCACCTTGCCCTACCACATATCCTAGGTATTCCAGGCGGGCTCTCCTGAACTCACTTTTTGCCAAGTTAATTGTCATGTTGGCCTTCTCCAACCAATTTGTTCGACCTGTTAGTCTACTTACGCACTCCCTTCAGGAGTCTGCAAATAACCCGTTGCACCTTGCAACATCTGGCTCGCAATTCACTACAAACATAGTCTTCTCCTAAGCGATCCGACTTCTCTCACACCTTGGCTAGGCTGTCCCTGCTGAACCCCTTCGCTCCATCAGTCCTCTCTACTTATTATTTTCTCCCTTCGTTTCTTCTACTTCTTGCATTCCACTCTTCAGGGGTCAGAAATCTTTTGTCTGTACCTCCTCTGTCGTCCTCATACTTCGGTTCATCGTCTTCACGATTCGGTCTGTCGCCATCACATTTCAATCTCTCATCAACATACTTCGTTTCTTCATCTTCACCGACGATCCCTTCTTTCGTCTCCTCATTTATATCTTCTTCATTTCATCCTCTTCAATTTCCATCGAATTTTTGACCTTCTTCTACTTCTCCATGCTTGCACTATCATCTTCTTCTTCTTCGTCTCACATTCTGCTCTGCTACACAGCTCTAATTCTTCTCCTTCAACTTTTCCTTGTTTCCTCAAAGTTTCCTCGAGTACTGCATTGCACTCAACAGCACTCGACGGTACTTGTTGCTCTACCTCTTCTAGTGCGCTCGTGAGCATCTCTCCACACACACACTGTCTCTTCTCACTTCCTCTTCTTGGTTATCACGCGTCTTAACTATCACTTCTTCATGTTTCCCGTGAAGTGCGTCAACTTCTGACATCTCACACAACTCAAATCCATCATCCCTACACTTTTGTTCCCATGGACAATTTGACGATTTACTCTCGTCCTCAGTCTGTCCACATTCTCCTTCACCTTTTCAGCACAGTTATCTCCACTTTCTGACTCTCAATTTCAGTGGGCTGGGCTCTACTCAGGTCCATTCTCTTCACATTAGTTCTCTCCGGCAGGGTCATCTTCACTTCTGACCTCACCGAGACTTCATTTCCTGAGATAGGCTTTCATCAAACAGCCACGCTATCTCCACGTCGATATCTTCCTTCGGTGAGATCAACACTGTCACACCCTCTCCAGTGTCTTCTTCATTTCCCTGAGCTAGGTTTCATCAAACAGCCATGCTATCTCCACTACAATATCTTCCTCAAGTCCAGTCGACACTGCCATATACTATTCAGTGGTCTCCCTCCTGGGCCACCTCTGCCCTGTTCCCTGCACAGGCAGGGAACTCAATGGCTTGGCGGTCCTCTCACTCATCCTGTAGGATGTCAGTCAGGTGTACGCACTCAGGTGTCCCACCCGTGCCATGGTCCTCCTCTGGCACAGTTTCTGCCATGAGCTTTGGCAACACCTTCGTCCCTCACAAGTCATTTCCCAGGATCACTTGGATTCCTAGAACAGGTAAGTCGGGGCATACTCCCAACATCACCTCCGCCGACAAATAATCCGACTTTAGCGTGACAGTACATATGGGCATGTGACTCTCTGACAACAATCCCATACACCTTTATCTTCCTATTGCCAGCTAAAAGTCGATCATCCGCGATCAGGCTTTTCATAATCAGGCTCTGATTGGCTCCAGTATCCCTTAGGATACTTACTTCTTCCTCAGGTTGGCCTCCTATGCTGACCCAACCTTTACTGATGAACGGCCTGAACCGCTCGTTCACTAAGTTTATTTTCTGCGGTTTGTCCTGTAATGCATTAATACATTTGTTTCGGGGGTCATACATTGTAAGGGTCACATCTCCTGTCGAAAATCTTGCATCATGTGACCACGTCTGCCGCATCTATAGCATCTTATGTTTGAGAAATCTTTTTTTATATCTCCTGAGTGGCTTTGACTCTGCCCACTCGAGTTCGAGGTTCTCTGTGCAGACACACCATCTGCACCCTGCTGGGTTTGGATGGACTCTTGATTTCTTGGTACACGACTAGTGTCTCATTCAACTCCTTCATCCTCACTTTCTGATGAGGTGTACTTCCTACTCTTCTGAGTTTTAGGATACTTTCGTCTAATCGCCCATCTATCAAAATTTTTCTCGCCACAGGCTCTCCTGGGTCTACCATAATTTCGACTCACCTCAATTTTCACCCTGTTTTCCCTTAAGCTCTTATATGCGTCTGTGATCATGTTTGCCTATCTGTAGCATCTCTTACATCCTTCACTCCTGCTTCTTGGATCTTGAACTGTGTCTCGGGGTGCATCATTTCTAGGAGTTTCTCCATGATCATTAACTGTTTTAGATCATCATAAGATCCCACCCCGGCAGCTTCCATCCATCTCTGGAAACGCCTTTCTAGATCCCTTGTCGTTTCAGTAAACGTACTCGCTTGAGCCTTCATCATTTCTCTGAAGCACTTTCTATAAGCTTCAGGAGACAACTGAAACGAGCGTAATATGCTGTTCTTCACTGTCCCGTAATCTCGGCATTCCTGCAATGACAGATGGGTATATGCCTCTCTGGCTGCACCGGTCAACCTTAATTGTACCAATTGGACCCATTCCTCCTGTGGCCACTCTTTGATGTTGGCCACCTTTTCAAAATGCTCGAAGAAGCTCTCTGCCTCCTCAGGCACGAATAGGGGAATGTCTTTTTCTCTAACTTTATTATCATGAGGGTGTGATACATGGGTGGTGCTCTCTGGTAACCCATGTTCAATGCTTTGCTCTGTCATACCTTTATTTGCTTCTATTTCCATTTTTTTGTTTTCTCTTTTTCTCTTTCGACTTGGGCTTTCTCTT